AGATTGACTTACCTTCAGCAGTTATGAGCAGTCTCTCTTTCGATCGATTGATCAATCGATCGATCGATCAATCGATGATTTCATCCATGCCATTTTTATTTGAGATTTAGCTGAAAAAGAAATTGTAACTGATGATATTATATTCTTCGCGATGTTAAGACGTCAAAGATGTTTTTCTACATCAACCAAAGACACACAGACGCATTGTAAAATGTACATTTCAACTAAAATATCTCACTCTCCGTTGAGCCCATTGAGGGAAAATATTAATTCATTGCATAACGGATCGTGTTGAGTAATTTAGATACAAGTGATAAGTGAGCTTCGGGTCTAATTTCAAGGGTTGTAAAGAACAAATTGCCTTACTAAGAGAAACAACTGGCTTAACGAAATCTTCGTATGATGATTGTAACTGTCATCGGGATTTAATGAGTTTTAATTCTGCAGAAACAATATATTTTTTATTACTGTTGGAAATATATTGCTACGTTATACATACAAATTCGTGACATTCTCAATCGAAAATAACATCAAAATACCATCATAACAACAAATACCATAGAACTCCTAAACTGTTTGGCTAATATCAAAGTATAAGTACTTGCAATCGGCCCATTGCTAATCTCAGTGTTCAGAAGTTGCTAAATTTCAGGTTCAGCTAAGCATGTTCAACTTTACTAAAGAGGGAGTGATGCATACGTTCTGCTTGTAGTACTATTCAAGAGGCAAGACGGCACAAAATTACGACTTCACTAATCAGAGAGAGAGAGAGAGAGAGAGAGAGAGAGAGAGAGAGAGAGAGAGAGAGAGAGAGAGAGAGAGAGAGAGAGAGAGAGAGAGAGAGAGAGAGAGAGAGAGAGATTTCGCATCCTCAACAACAATAAAATAGAATCATCATAATTTGAAGATTAAAATAATGTTTTTTTTTATTTCATTACTTTTAGATGCTGAATTTGCTTCATTGAATCAGAAATTTAATATCCTGAAAACGTTGTAATAATATCACTAATCTAGACATTTTGGATTTTGAGTGCTTCAAAAAACCGGACTTCCTGCGATCGCACTCAACATATTAGTGCTTGGCATTCTATTATTTAAGTAACACAGTACGATTTGTAGTTAAGACTAGGCTGGATTGATTTATTTCATAATAATCCCATGACCATGTGTCATTTGCTGTTCAAAGGAGAAAAGAGAGAAAATAAATGAGTCATTACTCGGGAGTTATACAAACCTAACTACCGAATGATTTGCAATGACTGTAGTCGTCCCTTAATTTACGTAAGGTGTCAAAGGGTCTAGTATGAAATTATAATAAAACTTTTCTGCCGATGATCAGTGCTATTTTAACACTAGTTTTCCTACGACACAATAGCCCTTATAGCTGATGATAAGAAATTCATATATTTTATCACAGGAGAGGAAGACTGGTGCTGGTTGTGGTAGGTAGTTTCCTTGCGATTTAAAATAAAATGAGCAAATATCCAGTATTAAAGGCTATAATAGTCATTCATGAACTGCATTTTTTTCTTTTTATTATTTGTTGCTTTTTTATTGTTGTTGCTGTTTGCTTTTTTATTATTTTGAAGTTGATATTTGATGTTTTTGTTTGTTTTAGTGGGGGTTCTTTTGTTTGTTTGGGGGTTGGGGTCTTTGTTTCTTGCACGTACTGCAAGCATTTATGGAGCTCCTATCGTTATTAAGCATTAACAGTAAGCTTAATCGGTTGCACATTCTGATTGCAGAAAAGGACGGAATGTGTTTAATATTGTGTAGCGTGTTCTTTCACGGCAAATCAACATATGGAGGTTGTATCTTTTTGTGGCTGGTAGAGTAATTCGCCTTGCAAAAAGAACTATCCATGTTTATCTGTCCTGGCTTATTCGATGGTGGGAATCTAAACCAGTTTCTTCTAGTCACAGACTAAGTGACTTCACCTCTAAACCATGTCTTCTCTTATAGTGATTGAAGTTGATGCGTTAAGGATAATCGATATTAAGAAAAGTTTGTTTATAAATGAAAGGCGTGTTGTTTGTGGTCTTGCATTCAGGCAGTGTTGCCAGTAAACCAATACGGTCAGGTACGCCTTACCAGTAAGACAAGTATTGCCGGCACGCCAGTACCGAAAAGTCGAGATCAGGGTGGAATGGGATGGGGGTGGGGTGGGGTGGAGTGGGGCAGTGAAAGTACTGGCAAGACTTAAAATCTTCTTGCAAATCTTTGAAAAATGAAGGTCAAGCATCCCTACGTTTCTTCATAAATTGGTAGTAATACTAACTAATCTTCACCGTTCTCTTTTTTAACACTATGAGAAGTTCGTTCTCAAATCAGTTATTTTAAGTGCACAACTATTGATTAATTTTTGTGTTATGCTAAAGGTAATCTGGAACAAAGTATCATTATGAGAAGTTCCTGGATCGCTGAATCGTCTAACGAGTTTTTCGTATCGAGGATCATATACTGTATTTAGATCTTCAAACATATCTATATATAAAGGTACCGCTCCGGTGGCCTAGTGGCTAGAGTGTCCGCCTCGGATGCGGGAGAACGTAGGTTCGATCCCCAGTCGGTCGAGTCATACCAAAGACTTACAAAAATGATACTAAGTACCTCGCTTGGCATTCAGCATTAAGAGTTAAGTGTTAGGGCTGGTCGGCCTGGTGTCAAGATAATGTGACTCATCATGCTTACATGTCTGCCGCATATTGCTATACACTGTCAAACTGTCTTTTGTAGAATATACATTGAAACTTGCAATTTTGTACTTAGTACATAGAAACTAGAACTGAATTCAGTCAAGAGGAACCAAATATGAAAACCATATATAAAACATCAGTATGCCAAAAGACAAAAATTATTTCATGACCATACTGAAATCAAACAATTATATAGGAAGAAATTTCAAAAGCCGTTTAATGATATTTATTACGAACGAAACGAAAATAAAAACACGTGATAAAATATAAAGATTTATTTCCGAGTCGCTGCATAGCATAAAGCTTCAAGTCCGTCAATTCCGTACATTATTTAAAAGATCCTATGAAATACGGATAGTGCTTGCAGACATGTAAATTCGTATAAGCAGTGTGTCTGTGATAATGAAGAACTGGCTCTTACATTATGAGCTGTGCCAGCTCGGTAGGATGCATGCAGCATGCTTACTGGAAATCATCACCATTAACTGGCAGAGGGTAAGTCCTGTGTTTTATAAACAATATTTGCGCAAAGCCGTAGGTGCAGATATATGGCGCGTGAAATATTTATTTTCATGAGCACTTTGTACCTGAAAAGCGATCGTTTTTCAGTTACATAAATAAGAGGGCAAACTTTATGAATCGCATTTAGGAAACAAGGTCAAGACCCGAAGCTCCACCATCTGTGATATTGATAATTTTCCATCGCAGCCGTATATATGGTCAAGTGATTTTCTTCCTGGAAGAAACATATGGTAAAACAACACATAGAGTTGAATATGTCATTATATATTCCGTCATTCAGTAAAACATGAGATGGGTTTTGTAATAAATATCAATTAAAACGTTAATAAAAATACTCCGATGGCAGGTCATTAAAACTAGTTTGTTTAATAGTTTTAACAGATATATTTTGCAATCAATGCCATTATTTTTCTACTTTTGTTTTCCAAAAGCAGCGTCAAGTGCAGGCACACTTCATACTTTGTTTCTGTCCCAGTTGCATATCGTTAAGCATGGTTCCGTAAATGATATTTTATCTTCAAATTAGATGCCGACATCTGCTAGCCGTGCGATTGATTGGAAATAGAAATGGAGATAATTACCATATAACTAATTTATTTCCCAACATAAATTTACGATTATTAAGATCGAGGTGTCGTATAATTATTAATATCCATGCCTAACTAGGATTATACCAATTTTTGAATGTGTCTATGTTTAAATATGGTCAAAGATAACAAAGAAGCAATCCAAAAGCCAGTGGAAAATTAGTGAACACGCCGTGAAAAAACATATTTAAGGAGTGCCATACAAGCTCTATTAAAGTTTTATTGCATTTTCAGCTTTAATTTCAATTGATATAAAAATTTGTTTTAGCGTCATCACAAAACAAATTTACCCAATATTTTATTGCTCAGGATGGATAGCATTGTTATTGCAAATCCGAAAACTATCAATCCTCAAGTAATATTTGCTTAATCGTCAAACATTCGCATGAGAATTTTGAAAGCCTGGAGTCTACCGTGCAAACTTCTCAATATTGGACTTAAACGTTGGATATCTCCATTACGTTTCCTGTGGATCTTCTTGAAAGATCACAACTTTTGAATCTCAGGGAGGTAAACTTCCTTCACATTAGGATGCCTTTCTTCTTCATGCGAATAAATTATATCAACGCATACGTACGTCTTATTTTGGCATCAGTGCGCTGGCTTTTTACCAATCACTATCGTAAGATCATTAGAGAACAAACTGTGTTTAATACTCAGACGTAACCATGAAAGGTAGTAGTAGTAGTAGTAGTAGTACTAGTAGTAGTAGTAGTAAAAGTAGTAGTAGTAGTAGTAAAAGTAGTAGTAGTAGTAGTAAAAGTAGTAGTAGTAGTAGTAGTAGTATAAGTAGTAGTAGTAGTAGTAGTAGTAGCGTAGTAGTAGTATAAGTAGTAGTAGTAGTAGTAGTAGTAGCAGTAGTAGTAGTATAAGTAGTAGTAGTAGTAGTAAAAGTAGTAGTAGTAGTAGTAAAAGTAGTAGTAGTAGTAGTAGTATAAGTAGTAGTAGTAGTAGTAGTAGCAGTAGTAGTAGTATAAGTAGTAGTAGTAGTAGTAAAAGTAGTAGTAGTAGTAGTAAAAGTAGTAGTAGTAGTAGTAGTAGTAGTATAAGTAGTAGTAGTAGTAGTAGTAGCAGTAGTAGTAGTATAAGTAGTAGTAGTAGTAGTAGTAGTAGTAGTAGCAGTAGTAGTAGTATAAGTAGTAGTAGTAGTAGTAGTAGCAGTAGTAGTAGTAGTAAAAGTAGTAGTAGTAGTAGTAAAAGTAGTAGTAGTAAAAGTAGTAAAAGTAGTAGTAGTAGTAGTAGTAAAAGTAGTAGTAGTAGTAGTAGTAGTAAAAGTAGTAGTAGTAGTAGTAGTAGTAGTAGTAGTAGTAGTAGCAGTAGTAAAATCTCCAACTGGAAATTAATGTTAGGCGACTAAAATTCGGGTTATAAGAGATCTTTATCTAAAATACTTTGTCACTTAGTTCTTTAAATCAAGTAACATATGGAATGATTTAAAGATCTCGTATTATCTAATCCATAAGCACATTAACGCAGAATTTACTGTTGTAAAAGCATCGATATATTACTATAAAGAGTATGCATTATAATCCATTCGAAATAAGCACAACATTGTTTCCTTGCCAAGGTAAAGCACTTCCAATTTTCAGTAGTGAGAGTGCGTTGAAAGTTGTTGTTGGTTTCACAAATAATCTGAAATGAGTGAGGGCGAAAGAGGGTCCCTTGTTTGATAATCAAAATAGCTTGTGTAATTTAGCCACTTATTTCTGTAAAATAATTCAGTGGTAATCAAATGTTGTGGCTCCGTTTAGGATTAATTCAATAGCGACAAAACAGCAGGCATACGCGGATATTCTTCCATTAGTTGACGTAAAGGTACGTGCAATTCGTCCAGAGTGTTACGAGAATTCTGTAGTCATTGCAACAAAAGATATTCACCAAGTGGATGGCAACTATCGTCGACAACCTGTTTACCATATCTGATAAACACGTCTTATGTTGCGCTCAACCTGAATCGATAGTATCTGAAATGAATCTCGAAAATTATATATATATATATATATATATATATATATATATATATATATATATATATATATATATATATATATATATATATATATATATATATATATATATATATATATATATATTGCAATGAAAGTTTGCAAAATGATGACTAATAGAAAATGTCAGGTAACGTGCATCTAGCTGGAAGAAATTAATTGGTGCATGTATGCGTTTCTAAATCCGCTTGAAGAATGAAGTGTCACAAAGTAATGTTGATTGCTAGTAATTATCAATGGCAGAGGGAAAGCTTTGGGACAAATATGAGTTGAAGATGCTTAAAAAATAAATAAGTATACATGATAATGCCTCTTTCTTGGATGGTCGATGTTACGTTTTTATGACATCATAGTGTGGGCCATTTCACCATCGTCATACTTCTCCCCACCACCACAACTGCCAAATAATAAGAACCTGGAACAAGCTGAAGACTCATTATCCCAATCAAACATCAAGGAACGTGTCGACGAGTATGTCACGCTGAAGGAAACTTAAGGATTTAGGGTCAATATGTTTCATATTTGCTGACATATATCTGTGGTTTTACACTTCGCAATTTTATTTTATTGGAGGCGTGTTAACCTTAACAATATAGTACAGTTATCTGTATTTTGAAATATTTTGGAAAATGTTAAACGTAGAAACTTATCTTAAGAAGACTAAATAGTTGTACAGCTTTATACCGTGTTTTGTTTTTTTACTAAAGATATGTTGACTTTGTACCAATCAGAACACGCGTTACGTTTACCGATGGATTAAATAATGCCATTTGATTGAATGGTCAATAATAGGTCAATGCTAGTTCACAAATCTATGTAACTTGGACCAGTTTCTGTTTTGATTGTATTCTTTGGCAAATATTAAAAATCCGACTCGATTCTCAAGGTTTCTGTCTTTTTGGTATCCCATGTGATTAAGGATTCTAAATCAATGAAGGAAAACATATTGTCTGTAAAATACTGATTACTTGAATGATTGACTGTGTGACTGAAAGGAATAAACGCTATCTCAGTTAATCAAAACCAAATTTCGTGATCAGTAGTCACTCAAAATATACAAAAATACTATTTTGTACGTGTCTGCTTAATAAATAATTTACTCCTTTAATTAGAATACAATTTTGTAGACTATGCTGTTGCGTTAATAATTGTATGTACAATTGACTAATACATGAATAAATACATTTTGAAAATTATGCATGTGGAATAATAGTTCAGGCGCCTATGAGTCATCATGAAAAGGAAGCACCAATAATGGATGCAAAGATGCATTGGAATTTGATAAGGGTCTTTTAAAGAAATAGGCTTGATCAGTGGTCCATATTCAAAAATAATGGAAGATTTGCTCCCTGTTTGCAATTATGGCAATAAGAGAGCGGAAAAAGTCTTGGAAAATAAATCACAAATGAAATTTAGCAGCTGATAATGATAGTGATCCGTCAAAAATCTGACCTCTGATTGGCAGGTTGGCTAATTGATGAAGCATCTGGAAGTGTACAGCGTGCCATATATACTTTCATTTCAGACCAAGTATGACTTAACCACCTTAATATAACGGAATGTATTCTACCTAAAACACCTTAATATAACGGAAAAACAACAATCAATGATGGTGATTACGTACATTTTACCTATGACATTGAAAGTCGGTATAAAGGACTTATCTTTAAATAACTATGAACCAAAATCGTTGAGCTTGGTGTCGTGAATTGAATCAAAGTTCTAACGTTGAGAAGATATAGACGATTGTATCAACTATTATC